TGGCAATACTCAAGAGTAGAGTTAAGGCAATGGCTCAACTTAAGAAGTAGAAAAACACTCAGCCGCTAACCTTTAAGTGTTGACAACTTTAATGGCATGGCGGCTTAAAAGTATGAAATTCTCAACAAAATGTTGTTTTACATTAGCAAATTTCATGGAACAAAAAAGTGGGGTAGAAAAAAGTAATGAAGCTAAGTACCTCGTCGCTTTTAGTGTGCTGAGTTTGAGCATCAGTAGTTGTTCACTCGTCAAAAATGCATACTCGCAACAGTCGCAATATAATTTTCCTCAATATACTACATCCTCGACCACGCCTTCCCCTTCCACTTCCTTTGTTGATTTGTAGATTGTAAATTTGCTGGTTTGTTTGTCGATTGTCTGTGATTTGCTCGCTGAAAATTTCTAGCTATTTTTAATATACATAATTTCATTAAATAAATGCCTTTCTGTCTTTGCGCAGCCAGTGAGTGCTAGTGCTTTTACTTACATTTCAATTGTTCCGTGCTGGTTCGTGTTCGTGTCTATGGGCATTTTGGCCTTTTAGTCAAATTAACATAATTTATAAGCAGATTTTGTAGTTGAGTTAATTCTGATTATTTCAGCGACTTTTATTGTTTTTGGTGAAGATATGCTTTTCTGTAACTTATTCTTTATATTTGTTGCCTTTTTTGGTGAGATATTATTCAAATAAGCCTTAGTAATGCAATTAGGGAGTTATACAATTTGCACTCCAGTTTAAATTCAGATATGGAGAGTTGTGTTATTATTGCGTCTGGTAATGCATCTCTTGTTCATTTCAGAGTAACTTTACTAGTCAAATTTTAATTTACAAACGAACCCAAATATTTTGAGTTACGCTGAAATAAAATGTGTGCAGATCTATAGCTATAACCCGTTAGTATAACTCAATCAATAATTTAGTTCTCATTTCAAATATTTTGCATTTTTTGTGCAACATGTTCGGCGAATTCTGCATATAAAGCGACACGAGCGAGCACGAGTCGGTCGTGTAATCGAAGCCCGAACGCAACAAAACTCAGAATTATTTACAAATTTCCTGTTGAAGAAAAATGCCTAAGCACTGTCAAGAGATCTCGCAAACTGAGCTAAAAGCCACAATAATCGGCTACTGTACTGTCAGAGAATATATACTAGAATAATATAATTAAACGCAGTCAAATAAAATCTAAGTGCATATATGGAGTATTTAGAAGAAATCAATCAATCTTTATAAGAAATTATTTCTGTGACCCAGCTTTTGTGCTTAAGCTGTCATAAAATGCGGTTACCCAAATCGAGATCGAAAGTCTAAGATAGTCAATTGCCATGCGGTGTTTCTCAACTTGAGTTTGAGTATGACTTCTATAAAATTTAATCGGCATCTTCTACTATATTTTTTTTAGCTTCCAGGTTCATATCCATATCTGTCGTTGAATTTCTTAAACAGTCGAAGGAGGTGCAATTTTTTACAGCAAATTTGAGAGAACTGAGTATTTTGATACACCCACATACTTTTCTAATTCACTGCTAACATAGCGCCTACTCTATTTATTTTTGCAAAGAATTCATATTTTGTCACCAAAATAATATTTCTAATACACTACAGTAACCTAACCCCGTTTATTCAAATAACTAAGCAATTTGAAAGCATATAGAAATTATTTAACGTGCTACATACTTTCGAGAGCTACTGTATAATGATTATTTAAATAGAATCACGCAACTTTAATGTATTTCAGATAATTTTTTAGCATAAAAGTTACTTCAACTGATTGATTATTGGTGACTCAGCAACGACAAATCCGCTTCTAAATTACCAAATTCGTACGCAAAATAGCTGGGAATTTCTATTAGAAAACAATATATGCTCAATTCGAAAATAATGCTAAATAATTTCCAAAAACAAAAAACGCAAGAACACAAGAACATGAACGGCGTTTGCCGCCTGCTAAAAAACTAGGAAGCGAAAGTAACAAGGTGGTTAGAAAGAGCGTTGAAGACAGAGGAGTGCAAAGACAGAAACAGACGCAGAATATATAATGAAAATGGAGTATAAAAACCCGGATGATGTCGAGTGAAAACTATCACAGAATTTTAATTACATGTGGAGGAAAAAGGTGTAAATTTTATAAACAGTTAAGAACTAGAAAAAAGGCGCAGGTAATGTTGGGGCATGAATAAGAAAAAACTATAATAAAAGCCGCGAAATTGTCAATGTGTTAGAAAAATTGACAACTCATGCACACACAGATAATTATGCGTGTTTTTATTTGTTTGTTTTTTGTGTGTGTATCTGTCTAGTATGTATGTTGTGTGCGCGCCGAACATAAATTGGATAAGATGTGTTACGGCGCGATTGCATGAAAAATGAACTGAGAAAGGGTAACTGATAATAAAAGTAAATAATAAAGATGGTGGCCGGGCGATAGAAAGTTCAACGGAAGCGTGATATGACTTTTTAAAAGACGCAACAATAAAATCCAGCGCGCTATTTCCACTTTTTCGTGTATCTATGTATAGTATATATAGGTGTATAACCGCTAATATGTATGCAGATCTGCATTGTCACGTGATTTGCCATGCTACAGCGATTTTTCGGCATAACAAAATCTGATTTGTGCCTAGAAAAACTACACACAACAGCGACTCTTGAACGCTATGCAGCGCTATACACATATGTATGTGTGATCAGCCAACACTGATATTAAAGTCAGATAACAAAGAGTGTGCGCACACACCGGATGACTGTCACTTTTTCCAGTAAACTATTTAACAGCCCAACCAAGCGTACTTAAGTGCCACTGTATATAGTATGTGCATGTATGTTCATGTACTCTTACACTGTGCCACCGCAGCCTTTTGCTCTCTGTCAATGACCTCTACATACACTCCATTAGGTTTAGTATTCCATTCCGGTGCCGTGAAACAACTCAATTTTGAATGGCATTAATCATTAGCATTTCTTTTCGTCATCTGTCGACTTTTCTACATACTTTTCACACTCGGTCTCACAGCACTACAAAGTGTCGCATATTAGCGCAATGTGGCACATGTTGCTTCACTCCTTCATATATACCATACATATACCTTCATATATACCATACATATATATATGTACTCTACATATACATATGTATGTGTTGTGTGTTCGTGCAACATTTTCGAGACCCGCTTACTACAATTGAAGCATATTTAATTTCATTTCAATTAAACTTTTGTTATATTTAACAGCAAATTTCATTTGAATTTTGTTGTATTATTTCCATTCTTCATTTATTTTTATTTCAGCTCACCGACAGTTCCATGCAAATAAGCACGTAAAATGCTCGCTAAAACCTTTTGTTTTAATATACTGCTGTTTTTGTTGTTCTTAGTTTTATGTAAACCTTAACTAAAAGTTTTTAAAATTCCCATAGCCACCACTTTTACGACCATATATAGAGTGACTCTATTTAATATACACAAGTATTATATTTCACAGAGTTTTTAGCCACAGTGTGATACACAACCAGCTCTACGAGATAAAATTATTGCAGTTAGTTGCACAATTTATCATAAATTGAAGTTAAATGTAATAGACGGCTTACATTTAACTCCAAAATACTATCAAACCTCTTAGAAGTAAAATGCGACTCGCAAAAGTGCAAGTATAACACAAAAAAGTTGAGTTAGAACATATACAATGGGTGAAAGGTAAACCACCCAAAAATTCAGTTATATCATATTAAAATTATTTAAAAAACATATGTTTTCAATAAGAAAGCGTTTCACAAATATCTCATAGTATGCGCTATATCTGGATAATACGGGCAATAGGTTTATAAATGTAAACTTTCAACGATAAACTTTGAAAATTTTATTAAATAACTGAAAAATCGTTTAGAATGCATAGTTGCAAAGTCCGCTCTAACCTCAAACCTGTTTTTCGGGAGCAAAAGCTTTGCCGCATAGAACTAAGCTGTAAGCAGATCTATTTATTCTAGATCTGCATATACCATAAACTCAAACTGAGTTCTAAAAAAATTTAAATATCGGCAAGAGCTTTACGGCTTTAAAATTAATATGACTCACATCAATCAAGTTATCTCAGATTCCCAGTCATTTTAATTTCGCGACACTAAAAAACTTGCTTTCTCATAACTTTACTCCCTGTTTTAAATTTCCGAAAATTCAATGATACAATTTTATGAAAAATGCAAACTCTACAGCACAGTTTTATTTTGCTCTTTAAAATGAATAAGCGAAACCAACGAATTGTCATTAGTAAGTGACCTAACTAACACGAAATTCGATAAATTTATTTATTAATTCAGCATTTTTTAAGAATATTTAATATTAAAAGAAAATTTTTATGAGATCTATTTAGGTGGTCAATAGGACCCAACATCACCTTCGAAGGTTTCAGTCAGATATTGCATTAAATCACAGACATTTTTTTTTTTAGAAAAATAAGCAGATGAAATTAAAAATAAAAATGTGGATAATAGTTAAAGTCAAAGATTGAATATCGCATTTTGGCATATGAAATTTTTTTTTTATAGTAAACACAACATTTTCAACAATTTCAAGCTATGTACATATGTATGTTCATACATGTATATAATTTCTTATGATTGGCGAATCACTTTAAAACTAATCGTGTTACTTAATCTACACTCATTTTCAAAACTATTGATTTCCTAAGTTTTTTATAGCTATTTTAATTTCAAAAACCACTCAGCTAACGAAATTACTTTCGAACTAAAACACAAAAACCGAAAATTGAAAATTTTGAAATGTACTAAAAAACACACACACTTTCCTGCCATTTGCTGAACTAAAAATAAATGTTAAGAAGACAAACACTAATCAATCATGACACTGTGTCACGACTTGATAGAAATAATTTTTTGAAAAATTTAAAAAAAAAGCCGCACAAAAATAATAGTCAGAAAACAAATACGAACAGTAGAAGAAAATCTTAGGAAAAATCACTTTTGTATTTTCAACAAAACACTTACCCGAAACAGCGACGCCGCGTCCCGTCAGCGTACGTGTTTACCCAAACAAATCTCCAAGCCTTGCCACACCACAACGCGTCACGCGCCTGTATCTGCCTTGCCGCTGCGATTGGCTTTGCCCCTTGACGACGCTGGACAGCGCGCCACACCGCACTGCTACCCATTTAACTGATCGCGGCGTAGCGCACATATGTACAAGTATGTATGAGCGCACGTATGTGTGTTTACGAATTCAACGGTTGAATGAATGCAAAAGTAGCGCTAGCGCTCGCTATTTGTATGGCACTGCTGTTGACGCTATTGTTGTTGTAAACATTCATACATTTGACGCGATCGCTGTTGAATTGCTAGCTTGTCGGCACTGCTACTGGTGTTGTTGTTGTTGTTTCTCGTCTTGTTATTTTCAGTGTTCACGACTTATCAGCACCTGACCTTTCAACAATGCATAGCAACAACAACTATGTGGTTTTTGCTTTGCTGTTTATGTAAAAAATGTGGTCGCGTTGTTGTTGTTGTAGAGTTTTTTGTTCGGTCTTTTTTTTATTTTTTATTTTTTGCTTCATCATGAGGCAGTTCGCTGGCTTTTATAAATATTTACATTGCCCGGCATGAATAGCGAGTACGTTGGAGCGCGAGGAGCGCCAGTGATCCGGCTAGGCTGAAGTTTCAAGAACAACTGACGTTTCGAGGCGTAAAAAGTCTGCATAAAAATTGTAGATTTTTAGAAATGCACATACAAATGTTTGTACACACTTACATACTTGTATGTATTTTCGTATGTTCATACATATGTATGTATGTTAACATTAATGATTATTACATAGAATGCGCTTATCGGCAGACAGACATAGCAAATATGTACATAGCAAATACACATAACGAAATCTCTAGATATACATATACATATATGTACATATGTATGTATGCACCATTCGCTTAGTGCAGCATGTGTAAATAGCTTGCACATGAAAAGTTAACAGCAAAAAAAAAAAAATAATTTAGTTCAAATTTCAACCGATCTTGCAGCAGTAAAGCTAATATTTGTGCGCGGCGCGAGTGTGAAAACATTGAAACTTGCCGCACGATCGTCATTTCTTATGTACACGCCGATCTATGAGCCTACACAAATGTCTATGGCATGTCTTTGTATGTATACTTCGATAAGCTTGTAAATATTTGCACATGTTGCCTACAATTTCGGCGATAATAATGACACATGAATGAGAAACTTGATTGTAGCAGAAATTTTTATGTAAAAAATATACCAATTGCCATGAGGTTAGCGATGTGCTTAAATAGAAACGAATTTATTTAATATTGTAATTTTACCTTAAACGTGGTCTGTTAATTTGACACGAAGTTTCTGACAGCCAGAAGAAAACTTCGTATGGTCTCCCCTATAAAATATAAACATATGTAAATGATCAGCGTGGCGTCGATTTTTCCATGCCCGTCTGTATATACGCGAACTAGTTCCTCTGATTTTGAGTTATCGATCTTATACTATGCTCACGTCCTTTTCCCTTCATTGAGCTGCATATTTGTCGGAACCACCGATATCGGAGCACTATAGCATATAGCTGTCATACAAACTGATCGTTTCAAATCAAGTTCTTGTATTGAAAACTTTTTTATTTGAAAAGATATATTCAAGAAACTTAGACATAGGTTATTATTCAAGGCCGCGCTACAATATCCGAAGAAATTGTTTGTATCGAAGCTCCTTAGCATATAACTAACATACAAACTGGCCGATCAAAATTAAGATAAATATCTTTTTATATGCCTTTATACTATAAAATAAGAAATATAAATGTTAAGGGTAGAATAGCTTTTGGTTAGCCGCAGTCACATTATTTTATCCCTACTAACTTATAAATACCTTGGTATATTAGAAACTAGTTCCAAGCTATTGTAGTTACTAACTATTTCCAAACTAGTTACTAAACTGTTAGAGAACTTAGCGAAGTTATAAAAAGCTTTCTTATTTCCGTTTAACTAAGTATTTTATACAATTTTCACAAAATAAATGATAAATAACGAGTTTAAAATATTTAATAATATTTGCCGCGATTATTTTGTTGTTTCAAAATCCACTTTTGATCATTTTAAAAGTTAAAAAGACTTTTGATTATTGAAAATATTATATGATTTCTTTGCTTTTATAACAAAAGAATTGGAATATTACAGCTAGGCTGAAATAAAAAAGGAACTCGTTTTGGAACTAGTTTGAAACTGGTGTAAGTACATCAACTCCAGCTGACAAAATTTTTTTTCGAAATTCAGAGCTATAAATAAAACTATGCTCTGTTCTTTGTTCCCGTTTGGTTCCTATTTTGGAACTAGTTTGTACCTAGTTGAAATTCAACTATTCCAGCTGATAAAAACATATTTTTCCAAAATCTAGAGCTTAAAACAAAACCATGCTGTGTTCTTTGTTTTGGAACTAGTTTGTAACTAGTTGTTTATTTGTAGTACTACAGCTGAAAAAGTTATATTTTTCTTAATTTTAGAGCTTAAAATAAAGTACTGTTCTATTCTAGGTTAAACTATATGGTTCTTTTTTGGAATCAGTTTGGAACTAGTTGAGAAGGAAGTACTACAAGTGACTAAAAAATTAATTTACTTAATTTTGGAGTTAAAAATTTAACTACATATCTTCTCTTCTCTTTTTAACCATACGATTGCACAAACAACAAAAGCCAAATTAAAATTAAATTTAATCTTTTGTTATCATTATAAACTAATAGTGAACACGCCTAATGTATACATAAACTTAACATACTGCATACATATACATTCATACAAATATTTTATGAACATTATTTAACTCATGGCACTTGCATGTACATATATATGTACTAGATATATAATATGTAAGTGCTTACCAAACCAAATGTGCACTTGCACGAAGAGACAAACAAAAAACCGACAAGAAACATTTGTGCAATCGAGTAACAGATTTTTATATGCAATGTTTAATGCTATGAATAAGATTAATTGAAAGTTGCATGCAATACATGTTGTCATATATGGTATACAGATATGTGTGTATATTGCACAAAAAGTTGATATGTACTTATGTACATAAAGTGGCAATAGATAAGCATGTCATGGGGTCGGTTCTCAATTGACATACATACATACTTGTAACAGCGCAATGATATACTCGTTCGACTGCCTACATAAGTATGTAAGTATTTATATATGTACATAGATATAAATTTCTGATACATATACCATATACTATGTAAGTATAAAAGTAAGCGAATTAGAGGTTTGGAATAGAATAACCATGCATTCATATAAAAACGAGTTCAGAAATTCCATTTGAAATAGTTTCCAATTTCAAAAAATATTAAATAACTGTAAATTTTAGAACAGATTAAAGTTCACTGTTACAGATTTTAGAAAATATTTAATAACTGTAAATTTTAGACTGGATTAACGACGTAACAATGAAATAGCAGTGAGTCGGATGCACTGATTTTCGAGTTTTATAGAATTTCATAGAGAATTGATGGGTTAGTAGAGGTTGGCATATATGTTTTTTTGTTGAAATCAGCTTTCCGCACTAGCAACTATTTACTAGCTATTTTAAAAATGTAATCAACCTCCCGAGAATCGAATTCCGGCTACTTGTCGCATTTTACACTGGCCATTGCAAGCTTAAGAAGCATTTATTTAACATGGGTCTAGCTTCTTGTGCAAACTGCCGGTTCTGCGACATAGAGCCGGAAACTCCCGAGCATCTGCAGTAAGATTAAGACTATTGAAATCATGTTTCCGAATAGGGATCACATCGTCTCAATAGCACCTACCAGTATACTGGATTTTATCAATATGCTGGGACAACGTGAGTCGTTGTGGCAGAGAGTAGGGCACAATACACCTTGGGTAACGGTTCAAACACCAATCAAAATCTAACTCTTTACAATATACTCGTATGAATGTATCTTAACTTTGTGAAAATAGAAAACAGTTACACAAATGAGAATGCTACCTTTACAATGTGATTTTTTAATTTTCCTATTTATCTCGTTTCTCCTCTATTTTTTCATGCTTGGTTTTCCGCAATCCTGGAATCAAGGGTGTGCAGGATTTTTCTATAATTCTTGCTGATTCCTTAAAATCATAAATTTTTATATAACCAATGTGACATTCCTTAAACAAATCTCTTTGTGAAAAGCCACAACTCCGAAGTGTTCTATCACTAATTCGACTACCTTAACAATAAATATATAAGTGGCTTACGGCATAGGTTGTGTGTTAAGACGTATCATACTTATGAACTCAAATATCATTCAAGTCTTTGGATTTCATTTTTGTCCACAAATAATATTTATCATGCCTCCGTTGAACAAAAAAGCATACTCATATAGTATTTTCAAAGAAAACAATCGGTCAGATGTTTCTTTCGGAAGTTGCATTGATTTCCGGAAGCAGTCCTGATAATAACATAGCTGCGTTAGAAACTTCAATTCAAAGAAGCTCTGTGCTAAAAATTTATCGGATGAACGTGTCAATGTCAAGTGAATTTATTCTTGTAAGGGTATAATGGAACAATGTATGTAAGGTCTATTAGGTGATAACTCTGGAATTTGATTAGTTGAGATTATAGGCTTTAAGTAAGTGTAAATATGTTCCACCCATTTGATGGTGTCACGAGCTGTAGCAATAAACTGAAATATAGCAAAAACCGTGGTTAGTTTTCTCTTGACATATGTAAAGCTGAAACTACGTAATATTTGACTTTGACTTCCTAAGGTAAGGTACTGAAATCCAGTCGAATACTCTACGGAGAAAAAGCTGTCACCCATTTTTTTACAAAACCAAACTAAAATTTCTTCTCAGAAATATGGTACGATCATTTACTTTTCCTCTATCTAGTGGCTTCCAGCATCTATTGAATTTTAAAGTCTGTAGATCCGTCGCGTAAGAAATCGAATTCTGCGTTGAACTTCTACACTTTTATATTAGATTTTTATTAAATAATTCGGAAAGCGAAAAATGAAAAGTCTTATATTGTATAAAAGGTTCCAAATTTTAAGTCTTGAAGATTCGTATAAATACGATAACCTTAAAAAGTGAAAGCGCTCCCTAATATGATATCTTGAGTGTTGTCTTGAAAATTTATTTTATAACCTGAACAGAATGTGCACGATATTAGTATAGCTGCCATACAAACTGAACGATCGGAATAAATTGTTTGTATAGAAAACATTTTCATTTGAAGAGATATCTTCAAGAAATTCGACACCGATTATTGCTTAAAGCAATGACGCAATCTCCTAAGAAATTGTTCAGATCGAGTCACTAAAGCCCATAGCTGCCATACAAACTGACCGATTAAAGTTCTTGTAAGGAATCTTTTGTGTATGTGAAGGGTATTATAGCTTCGGTGCAATCTATGTTAACATATTTCTTCTTCGATCTCATATCTGATATTAAAATCAATTATATTTTTGTACAATGTAATATTTTTCGAAAAATAACTGTTATTTTAATCAACTCAGATTTCTTATTTCTTTCTCAATACGAAAAAATTATATTTTGCTGAACCTTAGACTCTACTCAATGGTTGCCAAAGAATTGCATTGTATGTCAGCAATCAATTGACAATTGCTGTCCAATTAATTTTCCAAAAGATTTACAAAAATAACAACAATGGATGAAAATACATGCAAGCTTTTATGCATGCGCCACATATAGTGTATATGTTAGTTTGTATGT